AATCAGAGCTAGTTTGCAAATTAACCCCAACCAAGATGGCTGTGACCACAGAGAGCAGGAGGGATTCCCAGGCAATGGAAGAAGCCAAGCTTTCCACCTGCCCTTGCCAGCCTAAGCCTCCACTCAAGGCTACAAAGTTTCAATTATAGAAGGTAAACAAATCCAAACAGAAATGGCAGCAGCCACGGAGCAAGCAGAAGGCTTGGGTCTGCTCCAGGCTACAAAGTTTCAATTGTAGAGGTAAATAACTCCCACATACCAGGGCCTCTGCTTGGGTTGCCAGTGGGCATGGCTGGCCTGCAAACCACCTCAGGCTCCTTGTCCAGGGCGCCCCATGTCCCAAGGGAGCCCCACCCTGATCCAGAACACCCTTCAGGGCAAACCAGCTAGCCCTGACCCATGCACCAGGTCTCTATCCTATCTAATAAAAGAGTAATATGCAGATTGACAATCACTTCAACACACAAGATGGCTGCCCCCATGTGGTCAAAGATCCTGACCCCATGTGGACACAAGATCCCAGCAGGGGAGGGCAGTTGGGAGGCACCAGGCCTGCAAGGGAGGGCAGTTGTGGGTGATCAACCCTGCAGGGGGGACAGTTAGGGGTCACCTGGCCAGCAGAGGAGGGAAATTGGGGGTAAACAGGCTGGCAAGGGAGCAGTTAGGCATCAATGAAGCTGGTAGGGGACTGGTTAGGGATCATCAGGCTGGCAGAAGCAGTTAGGGACAATCAGGAAGGCAGACAGGTGAGCAGTTGGGAGCCAGCAGTCCTGATCCAACTGCCAGGTGGGATCATCCTAAACGGGCAGTTGGACATCCTTCACAGGGTCCCAAATTGGAGAGGATGCAGGCTGGGCTGAGGGACACCACCACCCCACCCTATCCATGCACAAATTCTGTTCACCGGGCCTCTAGTTTGAGAATAAGTATAATCTATGACTAACACAACAGTAGTGTGCCTAACTGCTTGTCACTCATTCTGAGAGTTTGCCCACTTCTCTACAAACACAAAGCCCATCTGATTGAAACACTGACACTAGATTTCAAAACAGACTTTCCCAGCCACATTTACAAATGTGTTTCCTATATTCTATTTCATCGATGGATGCATTCATTCCCTGTCAGGGATATGTGCCGCTGTTGGAAGAAATGTGTACATCAACCTGTTGTGTGTAATGCTGTGTGTTTTTTTCCTGTGAAATATCTATATATATATATAAGGCTAAGTGCCTCTTTGACTGGTAGCTATGGTGTGCACTGACCACCAAGTGGTAGACATTCAATGCAGAGCTGCCATACCACCCTATATAATAAAAGGCTAATAGGCAAATTGTCCCCTCAGGAGTTCAACCAACTGGGAGTTCGACCACTCACTATGACATGCGCTGATGACCAGGGAGCAGTGCAAAACAGAAAAAGGCCCTAGCCAGCAGACATGGGAAGGAAGGCCCCAGCTGGCAACTGGTAGCCCTGATCGGCCCTGATTGCTGGCCAGATCATGGGACCCTAGTCGTTCAGGAATTCCATACATCAGGCCTCTAGTTTAAAAATAAACAGCACCACAGATCCAACACTGACAAACCAACACCTGGCTTCCCCCAAAGTGGGACACAGGCCCCACCACCACCCCAGAGCAACACCCCATCAAATCACAGCAACGCTGCTAAGACCTCATAGAGGAAAATGCAGCCCATAGCCCAGCCCAGCCAGGAAACAGTCATTGTGGGCACTGGGTAATGATGTCACATAGCAGTGCCTGGCTTCCTCTCCCTAGCCACTAGCATCTTTGGAGTTTCTTCAGCCCGGAACCCAACTTGCTTTATAGCCAGGTGCAAACATTTTACAGTTCAACTAAATGTCTGTGAAGCAATTTCCCATGATTCATCTCATCTGATCTTCACAGAAGTCCTGGAGTAGGTAGATAGGAAACTTAGTAGAATCATTTTTGTTTGTTTGTTTGTTTGTTTGTTTTCATTATCTGGAAAAGGAAGATTTAGAATGTTTAGAAACTTGACCTGACTGAAAAGAAGTAAGAAATGGTGGAACTTGAAAATGACTTCAGGTTTTCTTGCTGCACAGAATATAGTCAAACACTGCTACAGTTAAATACTTTACCCTTTGTTCTCCCTGCGTGATCTAGAATAATAATCTGCTTCGTGTTGATATTTACTGTTGTGTGCTCATAATTACCTGAAAGAGAAGTTGGGGTGTTTCATTGGGATGTAAAAAGTAATAGCTAAGTCAGAAAGCAGGTCTAATTAAGCAAGTTTATTTTATACTAAAGGCCTAATGCCCTTGCAGCCCCTGCTTCATCTGGAAGGTCATTCGGCTGTCCAGTATAATTACACTTTTATTATTATAGATATACTAGAGGCCGGCTCACAAAATTCATGCACAGGTACAGTCCCTAGGCCTGGCCTGCAATTGGGGCCATCTTCTCTAGCTGCCTGCAGCTGCCCCCCACCCCCCTCCCCCCCACCCACCCCCAGTTCCGTTTGTCATCAGTGATCAGTGCTTGACAGTCAGGAAAGGACTGAGAGGTCATCTGTTCTCACCATTGCTGGCCCCACCCCCACAGCGGGTGACCATCAGGCAATCAGAGCCTGCCAGCTGGGGAAAAGAACCAGGAATGGTCAGTGCGCCTCATAGTGACTGGTCCAGTGGTCATTCATTCTGGTCATTCTGCCAGTAGGGTCAATTTGCATATTATCCCATTATTGTATAGGATAGATGCCTGGTGCACTGAAGGAGGTCCCAGATCAAGGTGGGAGATCCTGGTAGGGGGACCACCAGGGCCAGAGCTAAAGGGTTTGAAGGCCTGCCTCACCCCCAGTCAGGGTGAGGTCCCTTCTGGGATGGGGCCAGCCTGGGCAAGGGGCCGGGTGGTTTACAGGCCAGCCACACCCCCAATCGAGGTGGGACGTCCCTGCTGAGGGGTGTGGCTGGCCTGGGTGAGGGGTCAGGGATGGTTTGCTGACTGGCCAAGGCCCCAGCTTTGTCAGAAAGGATGTCTAGTCTAATTAGAATATTACCCTTTTATTAGTATAGACTAGTGGCCCAATGCACAAAATTCATGCATGGGGGTTGCCTCTCAGCCTGGCCTATACCCTCTCCAATCTTGGACCCCTCAGGGATGCCTGACTGCTGATTTTGGGCCTAAACCGGCAGTTAGACATCCCTCTCGCAATCCAGGACCACTGGCTCCTAACTGCTTACCTGCCTACCTGCCTGATCCCCTCCAACCACTCTTTCTGCCAGCCTGCTTGCCCCCAACTGCCACCCTGACAGCCTTCTCACCCCCAACTGCCTCCCCCTGGCCTGATCACCCCAAACTTCCCCCCACTGCGGGCCTGCTTGCCCCCAACTGCTCCCCCACAGCCTGATCACCCAAAACTGCCCTCCCCTCCTGGCCTGATTGCCCCTAACTGCCTCTGCCTCTGCCCCACCACATGGCTTTGTCCTGAAGGATGTCCAGAGGTCTCCCAGAAGGTCTCCAATCTAATTAGCATATTACCCTTTTATCAGTGTGGATAGAGGGCTGGTGCATGGGGGCGGCCGGCCTGCCCTGAAGGGTGTCCCAGATCAGGGTGCCAGCCTGGGTGAGGGGCTGTGGGCCGTTTTCAGGCTGGCCACATACCCTTTGGAGTGTGGATCCTTGCTAGGAGGCATGGCCTGCCTGGGTGAGGGACTGAGGGCCATTTGCAGGCTGGCCACACCCCCACTGAGGTCAGGTCCCGCCTAGGGGTGTGTTTGGCCTGGGCAAGGGGCTGAGGGCCATTTGGGGGTGGTTTGCAGACTGGCCAAGCCCCCGGCTTTGTGCAGAAGGACGTCCGGAAGATCTTTCAGTCTAACTAGCATATTATCCTTTTATTAGTATAAATCAGTGATGGGCAAACTGCGGCTCACGAGCCACATGCAGCTCTTTGGCCCCTTGAGTGTGGCTCTTCCACAAAATACTATGGCCTAGGCAAGCCTATTTTGATGGTGGATTAATTTGCAGATGCAGGTACAGAGCGGCTGGGGGCGGGGAGGCTGCTTGCGCACGTGCTGGTGCCAAGCAGCCTTTGTCCCAGGGACAAGTGTCCTCGGGACCCAGACTGCTCGGAGCCTGTAGGCCTGCGTGTAGGCCTGGAGCAGCCGGGGTCCCAGAACGACCCCTGGCCACACGCAGGTGTGGAGCAGCCAGGGGCGGGCGGGAACATCCACTGCATTGCCATGGAAACACTGCAGATGTTTCCGCCCTGTGGCCAGCATCCTAAGGGACAGGTGTCCTTGGGAGCCAGGCCACTCTGAGCCTGTAGGCATGCACATCGACATCCCGGAACGGCTGGGGTCCCGGAATGACCTCCCAGCCACTCCGGGTCTACATGTGCAGGCGCGGAGCAGCCGGGGGTGGGGCAGGAACATCCCGGCGACCCAGGCACTCCTAGCTGGCCCACGTGTAAGAGGCCAGGGGCAGGGCGGGTACGACTCCATCAGCAAGTGAGCAGACAGCAAGGCCCTGCTTGCCCCTGGCCATGGCAGCGAGGGGCAAGCAGTCCTCCTCAGGGCCCCCACAGAGAACAGTCACCAGAGCCCTGCTTGCTCCTGGCCCAGGTGGCTAAGAGCAAGCAGACCCCACAGAGAGCAGACAGCAGGGCCTGCAGTGGCATCAAGCAGGCAGGTCTGCAGTGAGCAGAGAACCATGGGAACAGGCCTATGCTGTCAGTAGGATATCCCCTGAGGGCGCCCAGATTGGAGAGTGTACAAGTTCGGCTGAGAGACCCATCCCCCCATGCATGAATTTTGTGCACCAGGCCCCTAGTCTTAGAATAAATGCCCAGGACTAGAGACCTTCTTTAGGTCTCTTTCATGAAGATCAGAAGGAAAGATTTTTATTTATTTTAAATATGTTTATTGATTTCTGAGAGGAATAGGAGAGAGAGAAAAAGAGAGAAACATCAATGATGAGAGAATCATTGATCAGCTGCCTCCTGCATGCCCTACACTGGGGATTGAGCCTGCAACCTAGGCATGTGCCCTGACTGGGAATCAAACCATGACCTCCTGGTTCATAGGTTGATGCTCAACCACTGAGTTACACAGGCCGGACCAAAAAGAAAGATTTAAAGTTTTTTTTTAGTAGTTTCACTAGTTCCATCTAAAATCTGTTCCCATAACAATACCCTGTTGGTGGGTTCCACTGACCAGTCCAAGGCTCAGTAGCATCTTCCTGCTTTGGAGTAGGGCCAGGCATCTTAGGTTGCAAAACCTCAGGTCCATGTTCAGCCTGTCTGCTGGTCTGAGTCAGGCTGATTCCCGAGAAAGACGCTGTCCTGCGTGGCACTCGGCTCGGGTTCCTCCTGCCACTGGCTGGGCCCCTCCTGCCTGCCCAGCGCGGGCTGCGCCTCGCCAGGAGCCACACTCCCCGCTGCGGGCCGTGCTCTCCGCCGCGGGCACTACACGACACTCTCCGGCACACGCGTGTGCCCTCTCATTAACGTCTGCTGCTGCGTGTGCTCCTTCCGTTTCGCTTTTGCCTCGGAGCACAGCTGTGTGATGTAGTCCACGCACCTCTTAGGACGGGAAGCTGGGAGAGAACATGCAGAGGTGAGCATTTATCTTGAACAGCATTGCACCCTATATTTGAAACACCGCCCGTGGATTTTAGGTCCAAATGTTAGTGTCTTAAAAACTAAACCTGAAATGCACAAATGCATATAAGTGATCTGAATATATTGTTATTGTCTAACTTTTAACAGGGTTACTTGGAATAAAATATACGGACGTTTCTGTTACAAAATAACGTAGTGCTGGGGAAAATGCATTGTCTTCAGCAGAATTTCCTATTCTATAATAAGTGCCAGGGCTTCTGAGAAAAGGAGTATCCGGGGCTGTGCCCCTCTGCTCAGAGGCCGCGGCCCGCAGAGCATCTCCGAGCCGTGACAGTGTGCCTCCACTGGCCAGCAGCCCTGGGCGGGTTCCAGGCAGTGAGCCTGAGCACAGGTTTCCCACCAACTTCTTTTAAGGCTGAGCTGGAAGCTGCGGGAGGGTCAGCCGCGGAGCTCAGGACGTGTCTTTCCTGCTAAAAGCTGCAGCTCCACTGTGTGGTTTGCCTGCTTAGGAAACCGGCAGAGCAAGCAACACAACTCACATGGGATACTGACATCATTGAGGAACTCCATGTTGTGGAAACATGGGGTGCAGAATAACGAACTGCCTGTAGCTCACACACATTTCTCCTCCCACCCCCAGCTCCCACACAGCCCACTCCAGCTAGGATAGCTACTTCTCGCCATTTCACACTCAACTCAGGCATCAGGAGAGAAGGGCAGCACTGCCGTAAAGACACGCTTCCTACAAAACCCTCCAGACAAGGAACAGAACCAGCTGCAAAGCTCTCTGCGTTTCTTGTGACTCTTGGCTGGTAGAATGTTCATTTGCATGAAGAAGCAAAAGGTTGGAAGGTATAAGATTCTCGCTTTACATTTACTTCTCTCTACTGGATCTTTATCAAGACTTCTCTCTCTCTCTTTGTCACTCTCTTCTTTTCTTTTAGACTCCATTTCAAATTTTTCTTTACATATATTGTTTGAGGAATTGCGATAAAGTCATCCAAAAAATTAAACACATTTCTGTGTGAGTTTGTTAGGCCTTGTATCCATTTATTCAACACAAATCCAACACTCCATTGTGCCAAGTCCTGTGCTAGGACCCAGGATACACAGAGAAAATCCAGTTGCTCACCACCTGCAGGAGGACGGCCTCAGCTAAATCAACTCCCCACAATGACAAGGTGACATAAAGGCGTCCTTGCTGAGGATGTCCACACGGTGCTCGGATGCAGATGGACATGCAGCCAGAGCTGGGCATGCGTGTCAGCGAGGATGCGGCAACGGCGGCTGGAGTCACCAGCTACATGAACTTAACTGCAACTTTTCTTCTTTTTTTTTTTTTTTAACTACTTTTCATGATTTCAGAAGTCGACTTTCTAGTCCTAAAAATGAAATTTTTATTTTTTGCTCCCCATTAAAAACAACAAATCAATGAGCTTCATTTTTCAAACTTCAGGTCACTAGGTTGACTTACTTTGGCTATATTTCTCCTGGGATGATGTTTCTTCATTATTTGACCTCGATTTGTAACTTTCTAGAGTGTATTCTGAAATTTCATTTTCTGCAAGAAAAAAAAGCCAAATTATTAATTTCAGGTGCCACAGGCATCGCCTACATGAGAAATGTATGTGTGAGTAACACGATGCCTCTGTCTCTATGCAGCAGTGGAGTCAGTGTTCCTCAGGTCCTCGGTCATTCAGCCAGTCATTCTTACTGTTTGTGCTGAGTCCCACAGGCATGTGCCAGGCGGTACAAGAATTGCAGAAGTTGCATGACAGCAGCTGGGACTCAAATGTTACCCTTTGAGAAAGAACAATCAATAGCCCTTAAACGCTGGGACTGAAGCGTCAGTGGCAGCTTCTGAAACAATACTATGGCACTTCCTGTTGTGTAGGTACAGAGCAGCCAGCCCCTGCTTCTAAGTCTACTCGCAGGGTTTTGCTGATGACACAATGAGTCCTCTGTCACATATGTGGCTCAGTCAGCATTGTCCAAAAGCAGTATAGCCCAGTCTCACATGTCATTTTAAGCTTTCCAGTAGCCATGCTCAAAGACTAAAATGAAGCAGGGGAAATTGAGTTAGTAATATATTTCATTTAACCAATAGACCCAATATATTATTATTAGATATATTGTATTCTTGTGTGCATGCGTGAAGTGCGTTTGTGTGCATGCATGTATGTGCGTGTGATGAGCCTTCAGAATGAGGTGTTTGTTATCCTTACAGCATATCTCAGGAGGGACTAGTCACAGGTCAGGCACTCAATAGCCCTGTTGTGGCTACTGTGCTGGATGGCACAAGGCTAAGTAACTGCTCAGAATTAAAAGAGGGAATTTATTCCAGACCATATTTATGGAATGAAATGAATAGATGGGTTATTCCGGATAATTTCTAAGGTCCCTTCTTGCTCTGATATATGTTGAACCTATGTATTTTAATAGGTATTTTTCTATGCTAGTTATCTACATATATAAAAGTTTAATATGCTAAGTGTCCATCCAAACAGTAGTTATGATGCACACTGACCACCAGGGGGCAATTGCTCAATGCAGGAGCTACCGAGCAGCAGAGACTTGGCAGCACTAGTTCTCGTTCTCAAGTGACACACCCTGAAACCAGAGAGGAGGGAACCTCAATTCCTTGTGGGGTCGCGTGATTCCTCCTTCGACTGTAGGTTATGTTGTTGCTGCGGCGTGTCGGCCAGAATCAGGTTTACTGCTCACTTACATTTGCGTTCCACACCCTGTACGACAGCAACTTTGCCAAGTGCCTTCTCGCACTCCGAGACCCCTAGGGGGATGTCAGAGAGCCAGTTTCAGCCTGATCCCCACAGGCCAGGCTGAGGGACCCCACCTGCCGGAGGGACTTGCTCACTCTGCAAATGCCCTTTGAGCCACAGCACCACCCCAGAGGCAGCCAGTTGAGGTTGATGCCAGGGCATGCCCTGCCCATCTTGCCCAGTCCTGGCCTGCCAGCTACCTTCTAATTAATTTCCTTTCAATGTGCACAAATCTGTGCACCGGGTCACTAGTATAATATATTTTTTGTTTCCAATAACTTTTTAATCAGAATGCTTAGAAAAAAATTGCTAACATATGATTGAGGGAAGTTGAATGCATTCTTTCAAAATGGGACTAAAGCTTTGATTGCCCACTCCTAGAAGAAGAACTCTTTGAGAGTAGGGCCTGGTCTGTCCTGTTGACAGATGTATCTCCAGTACATGGCACACAAAGCTGTTCAGTGAATGCTTATTGCATTCAGATGGACCAACAGATGAACGGATGGATGGATGGATGAGCTCTCTTTTTTGTTTCTTTTTGTGAACAAACACTTTTATAACATAATGCCAGTTCTTGGAGCTGCTCTAGTTTCTCTTGGTTTTGCACTTTTTCACTATAGTTCCCAGAGTTTCAAATTCTCTGCTTACTTTAAGACAAATAGTTGCTTATTGAAGTGACAACACATCAGATAAGAGAAAAGCTCCCCATTGTCTCAGCACTTTGTGCTTCCATCTGCTCTCAGCGCTCACCTTTCTTCCAGATCACGTGTGCTTTCCGAAGCTTCATCAGGAAAAGCTGGACGATGATGAAGAGAATGAAAATGAGGAAGGCCACGAGTGTGAGCAGCAGTATGCCACTTTTCTTCCTCACCAGTCCATCAAACTGAGGGTAAGCACCTATAAGGAAAATTAGCAATTTTAGAGAGTTTGAGGGAATATACACAAACCTTCCAAAAGATAGGGCAGGCTAACAGGCAGCTCAGATGAAGAGATGAAGAGCTAAAAAGATTCACACTATTTACTTTCTGAAAGCAAGAATATAAACAAAGTAATTTTGTATATAATTTGGAAAAGGTTTTTAATTTATATAGATATTGAATTAGTTATTTTTCATTTCTAGGGAAAACGTGAGAATATTGACTTAAATTAGCTGTAAGGAATAATTTTTTTTAATAAATGTGCTTTAGCAAGACAGATTGTTAGCTTAAAAAAAAAAACTATGCAAATAAAATGAATACTTATTGACCTTGACTCGGTTGCATGTGGTCTTACATGAAGGCATTTAGAAGTGAACTCGATGAGCCCATAAAGGGCTTTCCTAAACCTAAACCCTGACCCCATGGGCTCTAGCTTTGCTCAATGTCCTGGCCCCCTCAACCCAACCCACAAGCAATAGGGCTCCGTGCGGAACCCATGCCCAGGCTGCAGCAGGCACAGCCATCACCCAGGGGCAGTTCTCCATGTGTGCAAACAAACAGGTTAATAAAAACAAAAGGAAGGAAGCCACCTATGCCTAAGCTTAGATCTACACGTGTCACTATTATATGGTGTTTGAAGTTCAGCCAGGAGAGCTCCAGTGAAGAAATTGACATTACAAAAGGGTCAGGGGAGGAGTGAAGAGGTCTTTCCTTTCATTGAGGCAAATTATGATAAGCAAGGGCAGTGCGATCTAAGCGAGATGTTTTCAGAAAGAAAAAAAAAAGTATTCTTGTCAGGACTTTACAGAGGCAGAGCTGCAGAGGAAGGAGGCAGAGTGTACTCTGTGGAGGGGGAGGTTTAAGGTTCACTCTCAGGACACACGGAGGTTCCTGAACACAGGTGTGCAAAGTGCGCGGGGATATTTGCATGGTAAGGTGCTCACAACGGATGATAGAAGGAAAGCTGAAGTTGCAATACTGCATACAGGAGATGATGAGGGTCGGGATCAAAATGCCTGAAAGAAATGGCACCAAGTCTTTTGACTCAAAGGTCCCTGATTGTAGTGAAGGAGGACACCATAGTTTGGGCCTGCGTGACACTTTAGACAAGCTGGTTTTGTGGGAACAGAGGTAGTTCAGTTGTTAGCAATGTTGAATTTGAGGCGTTGGCAGAAAGTTCAGGTTGAGAAATGTAGGAAATGGGATGAAACAGGGACTAATGTTCAGGAGAATGTTCTGAAAATACAAGCACGAAATCTCCTGCCTGGTGGCAACAGGAACAGTCTTGGAAATGAGGGAGGAAAGTTAGCTAATGGGCACAGGAGTGGCCGCAAATGCGATGGACCAGAGAGGCAGGAGGCAGCTAAGTCAGGGAGCAGCAATGAAAGCAACAGAAAGGTCAAGAGGAATGAGAATTGAAGAACCATTGGACTTATTAGTTAAGCGGTTAAAATGTCAAGTGTTTATTCTAAAGGTGGTGGGTCACTTACCAGAGGTCAAGTCGGGGTCTTGAGTGGTTTGTTCTTCCTCTTCTTTGTCCGTCATTGATGTACTAAAATCTTCCATCGCTGCAACTAGGTGAGAGAAGCACAGGACATATACCTCCGACTATGTATGTAGAGTGTGTATATCCACACAAGTCATCCAAAAGCAGCAAGCAACTCTGGCGACCAAGTTTAGTGATGCTCACTGAAACCAATGAGGTCACTTCTGAATGACATGTCTTCCCAAAATCGTTGTGAATGGTCTGGCTTACTCTGCTTTATTTTTTTAAGGTTAATGTTTACTGAACATTTACTTTGTACCAGGCCTTAGACTGAGAGAGTTACTTCTTACCACAGCTCTGGGCAAGCAATTCTAAAAAATTTAAATAAACTGTCTAAAGTCCTGCAGCAAAGCAGTGGCAGAGTCAATACTGAAAGTCAGAATCCAACATTAAAACCGTTATTGCATGCTTTCTTCCTGAACCAGACCTGTTAGTGAGAAGGTCCATAGGATGCTTCCAGGTGACACCTGGACAGTTAGGAGGCATTAAAGCTCTGCAGATAGGAAACCTGCAGCCTGAATGCACAAAGCCATGACTTTATGTTAAAAGTAGGCTCAGCTGTCATTCAAACCCACCACCCAGCCCCGCAGAAGTGGGATTACCAGGATGCCTTTGCTAGGGAAGACAATTTATAAAAATCTTTTCCTGATTTGGTATTCATCCTCCCTATGTTTTTCACTATGTAAAATCTGGCTCTTTAGCCCATTACACAAGGGAAATGAAACAACCTACTCTTCTACTGAAAATGGCTATTGTTAACAGTAATAAAATTGTAAAACTTGAAAATTGAAAGGAGTTTTAGAAATCATATTTTTAAACTCTTATGTTATATAGTAGTGGCCCGGTACATGAAATTCATGCATGGAGGGCGGTGTCCCTCAGCCTGGCCTGCACCCTTTCACAATCTGGGATCAACTGCTCACCTGCCTGCCTGCCTGACCGCCCCTAACCACTCTGCCTGCTTGCCTGCTCTTCCCCAAGTACCCCTCCTTGCTGGTTTTCTCACCCCCAACTGTCCCCCCCTGCCAGCCTTATTTCCCCCAACTTCCCTCCTCACCAGCCTGATCATCCCCAAATACCCCCCTGCCATCCTAGATTGCTTCCAACTGCCCCCCAGCCATCCTGCTCACCCCCAACTGCCGCCCCCACCAGCCTGATCACCCCCAACTGCCCTCCCCTCCTGGCCTGAACGCTCCTAACTGCCTCTGCCCCGGCTCCGCCACCTTTGTCTAGAAGGAGGTCCGGAAAGGCTTCTGGAAGGTCTCCCAGTCTAATTAGCATGTTACCCTTTTATTAGTACAGATGAAAAGGCAGAGCAGAAAATTGAGTTGTTTAGTAGTGGTGTCAGCCAACTGAAAGACAACTAGATTCTAAACATTTGTAAAAATATTGGCTTATGAAGCAAATGATGTGGCTGTTCCACTTCATATTTTCAATTTCTATTCTCCTTCAAAAAACTATTGAATATATGGCACATAGTGCTATTTATCAGTTTAAAACCCCTAAACATTTATCTTAAAATATGATTCAAGATAAGTGTGATCAGATACTCAGAAGTATGCATGTTGATGATGCTATGAGCACACTTATCCCACCTCATCCCTCTGTTACAGACGCCTCTGAAGACTCACAGCCTCTCTGGGCAAGACTCAATGGTGCTCACAGCACCACGGCCGGCGCCTGCACCCTGCCCGCAGTGGTTGCTATGCACTTTCTGAGTGCTGGCTGTCACCAGAGGCTAAGCTGAGTGAAATAAAACATAACTTAAACATGTGATCATTGTTCAGAGCTCTCCATCAAGTGGGCTCACTGTCTGCAAGTTATAATGTAGAAGTTATAATTTAGGCTTTCTGCATTCTTCTGCATTGATAGTTCAATTTTGTCATTAAAACTATCTGAGTTTTTAACAGCCAAGTAAGTGACAAATTTTCAAAGGTGACTTTGTTATTTGATGATAAGAAACATCAAATCTCCAATCCTGTTTCTTTGCTCTTTGTTTTTGGTCTATTCTAGATGGGAAACAAAGAAATGAGTCTCCCCAGTGGACATGCAAATGTCACAAGTGTGTGTGTGTGTGTGTGTGTGTGTGTGTGTGAGAGAGAGAGAGAGAGAGAGAGAGAGAGAGAGAGAGAGAGAGAGAGAGAGAGAGAGAGAGAGAGAACTAGCGCTTACAAGGTGTTAGCTATTCTGAACCCTCGATAGTTGACTTGCCACTTCCCCAGTCACCACCAAGCTGAAGGGAGTGCTGAATGGTCTTGTTATAAAACAAAACAAAACAAAACATATGTTCTTAAAACTTATAGCTCCCGAAGAGGCAGGATTTTTTTAGGTTTGAATGATTTCCACAGTTACCAGTGCTTGTGGCCTGCAGGGCAGCTTGTGAGGACAGAGCACTTTCCCCCAGGGCATCTGAGGCTGTCTCTCAACGACAAGTAACTAAAAAAAGGGAAAAACAAAATGCTGCCACTACGATGGCGGATCCTGCCCACAGTGTGCTCAGCTGACCAGGGTGGAGGGTGTATTCTCCTGCTCCCTGCCCGCTGAGGTTCTGCAGAAGCCTCGCAGCTGCTGCTCTGGCGCTCCGGCTGGTGTGTGGTCTTGTGGCTCCCGCTGCCTGGCTGCCCAGCTCCCTGGCTTTGGAGTGAAGCCTGTGGCTTCTGGGGAGCAGCGTCTGGCACCCTGGGCAAAGGGCCTCTGCCTTCTCCACGGGTCTCTCCTCCGGCCCTCTGCCTGTCCATCATCGGACCACTCACAGACCTAACCACCGCTGGCAGGTGGCTTTGGATCAAGTCAGACTGGGTTGAGTTCCAATGCTTGACTTGCTTGTTGCTGAGTGAATTTGAATAAGATGCCCAATGTTTTGAATGCTCAGTTTCTTAATACTCATAATAGGAAGATACTAAGTGCATTTACCTCTTGGTTTTTTTGTTTTGTTTTGTTTTGTTTTTGTGAAAATTAATTCCTGCCACCTGTTTAGCACTATGCTGGCTATTTATTTGTATAAGAAAAAACAGTATCTAGAAATGTTCCCAGAGGTCCCGTTTGGCATAGCTTTGAGCTGTCTGTGAATAGGCCTGCCCCCAAGCAGGTATTAAAAGGTATCTGTTAACTTGCAAATATTGATGGGTGACAAAGGTATGTCCCTATGAAATATATGAGTACTTCATTTAATCAAAGGGTTCCCTGGTTTTAGTGTCTTCTTGTTTTAATCAAACAGTAAAATTTTTTAAAACTGTTTAAACAGCCAGTGTGTGATAGTGTAATACTGAGGGAAATCTAAAATGCTGACAGACATCATCCCTTCTCACCCAGATCTCCCATCCAGGGAGAGACCAGCAGCCGCCCTCCGCGGGGCCCTCGCGGCGCCCCACGCAGTCCGGGAGCTCCGGCCTGGCGCCGCCGCTGCGGGGCGGGTGCTGGGGCGCGGCCACAGGCCTGCGGGGCAGCCCTGCGGGGTGAGGCCAGGCCCGGGTTCGCCTTCCCGGGGTGTGGCTCTCACAAAGCCGGGCTGGCCGTCCTGCCGGCCTCCTGCCCTCGCTCCGACCAGACAGCTGCCTGCGCTGCTCGGCCTGCTCACGAGGGCAGGCGGGCGAGCCCCGTGGAGGTTCCCGCGAACCCTCCCCGGGACACCCCGAAGCCCGTGAACCCTCCCGGGACACCCCGAATCCCGTGAACCCTCCCCGGGACACCCCGAATCCCGTGAACCCTCCCAGGGACACCCCGAATCCCGTGAACCTTCCCGGGACACCCCGAAGCCCGTGAACCTTCCCCGGGACACCCCGAATCCCGTGAACCCTCCCCGGGACACCTCAAAGCCCGCGAACCCTCCCCGGGACACCCCGAATCCCGTGAACCCTCCCGGGACACCCCGAAGCCCGTGAACCCTCCCGGGACACCCCGAATTCCGTGAACCCTCCCCGGGACACCCCAAAGCCCGTGAACCCTCCCCGGGACACCCCGAAGCCCGTGAACGCTCCCGGGACACCCCGAATTCCGTGAACCCTCCCCGGGACACCCCGAAGCCTGTGAACCCTCCCCGGGACACCCCGAATCCCGTGAACCCTCCCCGGGACACCCCAAAGCCCGCGAACCCTCCCGAGACACCCCGAATCCAGTGAACCCTCCCGGGACACCCCGAAGCCTGTGAACCTTCCCCGGGACACCCCGAATCCCGTAAACCCTCCCCAGGACACCCCGAAGCCTGTGAACCTTCCCCGGGACACCCCGAAGCCCGTGAACCTTCCCCGGGACACCCCGAAGCCCGTGAACCCTCCCCGGGACACCCCGAAGCCCGCGAACCCTCCCGGGACACCCCAAAGCCGGTGAACCCTCCCCGGGACACCCTGAAGCCTGTGAACCCTGTGAACCCTCCCGGGACACCACGAAGCCTGCGAACCCTCCCCGGACCCCAAAGCTGGTGAACCCTCCCCGGGACACCCTGAAGCCTGTGAACCCTGTGAACCCTCCCGGGACACCACGAAGCCTGCGAACCCTCCCCGGACCCCAAAGCTGGTGAACCCTCCCCGGGACACCCCAAGCTGCAGGAGCCGCTGCTGGAAACTGGAGACGCCTCTGACCCAAAGCACCGCAGGGACGCAGCATCTGATCATGTAGAACCAGGCGATCAGAGCCAGGTGATCACGTAGAGCCAGGTGATCATGCAGAACCACGTGTGAGCTGCTGACACATAAACAGGCTCTGCACCTTCTAAGCTGCCATCAGAAGGTTCTTTGTCACATAATCACTACTGTCACTGAGGGTGTGACACTGTGCTTTCAATGTGCTTTCAATGCTATGCTTACTAAGAAGTATGCTCACAGGTAATTGCTCTATTTTGTCTTTCAGTTATAAAGTTTTGTCAAATTTTAAGATGCTATAATATTACGTTTTAGATTTCTACCTTGTTTTGTGCAAAACATGTTATAATGTTATTTGTGATTAGCCTTCCAAGATTAAAACGTAGTAGTGATTGGTTATAAGGAACGGATAATTATTGAAGGAGGTTTGCTGACACCTCCTTCCACCAGAGAGCGCCAGGCCTTTCACAGAACCTTCGGAAACAGGAGCCAATGGTCTGCACTCACCAGGGAGCTCCGTGGGGTTCCCCAGCCGCCAGGTTATCTGGGGGTGCAGCCTGCTCCTCGCCGTGGAGCCCGTCAGTGCCACCTGCTCTTCCCTGTTTTCCGTTCTGATGACAGAAGCTTCCAGGGTGGGCTTGAGAGGCGTTGCTAGAAAAAAAACCCAAAACAGTTTTCTGTGCTGAAGTAGCTGATCTGTTGTCTCAGGAAGCCTGGAGCCTGCTCACGCAGGGGCCACCGGGGTCCGGCCTGAGCCACGGCTCTTCTCCAGCTGACACCTCCCCCTCACCCCCCACCCCCGCACAGAGTGAGGGGGTGGCTGTGCCTGTGCAGCCACTGGCGATAGTCAGATGGCTGTGACCCTGCATGTATTAGTCCCTGGGAATCCCAAAACCGACTTCCCACAAAAGCAGTGCTTCACATTGACATATGGCTGTTTTGATTGGTGGAGCACTAGGTGAGGAATAGAGTCCTGAATTCTAGCTCCACCTTTGTCACTAGCTAGTTAGAATTTGGGCTAGTCCTCCAATTTTGTGGTTTATCGTTTCCTGGTCTGTGACATGAAGAAGTTGGGTTATAAGTTGGCTGTTTAAGCCCTAAACTTCCTGAGTCTATGACTCACTTCACCATAAGGCGCTTCTGCTCTCTCCCACCATCGGAGGCCTGTGTCTGACAAAGGGCTCCGGGGTCCTCCTTCCTGCTCCTGCCTTGGACACACTTTGTAGTCAGACTCTCGCCCTCCCCATTCTTCTCCACTCTTTGGTCCAGACCTGCGTTCTTCACGTTCATTTCCTCACCCTCCGGCCAGCCAGGCGCTGGCAGCCAGGGCCAAGCGTGGCCCGATGTGTTAGATGCCGAACTAGTAGTCTAGTGACAGACTCACCCCACACTGTCCATGAGCAGATCATGTAGGGAAAAGGATCATGTTCAAGTGCAATGGCGGAGGTGTGCACAGGTGCTGTGACCACCAGGAAGACACACAGGCAGCCTGCGCGCTGTGCGTGGCCAGCGAGGGGACAGAGGCCTGGGCTGAGCACATGGGGTCTGCCCCAGGAGCCCCCCTTTCCTGACATGTTGCCACCATGCCATTACTTTACGGCAGGCACTGCACCATACTATTTATAATTCAGAAAGAGAAGGTCTGACACGGGGAATCGTGTTGTTAATTTAACTCGTCTGCCACAGAAAAAGCCCGCGTGTAGAGATAGTGCACTTAAGGTGACAAAACTGACATCCCTGAGCTGAGCCAGGTCTGTGGGTCAGGAGGCTGTCTCTGCTCCTCCAGTCCCCCTGTCCCCCCCACCCCCGCTCCTCCCCCCCTCGCCCACAACCTCCTGCAAGAGAGAGGAAATGGCTTTGGCAGAGGATGTGCAGGTTCTCAGTGCAGTTACACCTGACGTCACGCTGTCACAATGCTCTCCTTTCTTACACACACTTTGCCCTTTGGAACTCGTGTGCCAGGGCCTGTGAACAAGGGTGTGCCTGGTTCACCTCTGAATCCCTGGAGCCTGGTCACAGGTCACCAAATATTAACTCTTTTTTAGTTCCCTGGAGAGGAAACCTAGTTGACCCAAAGACACATTTCATGAATTCACATTGTAATCTAAGTGCTTGCGAGTCAAAATGTTCCCTCTGTTTCCTTCCAACAAAAGATGGCAGAGGTGCCCAAGTCATAGCTGGAGGGAACCTTTTAAAAATAAAATGTTAAGTTTAGAAATGACATGTAATGTTTCTGTGTGCCCCGCCCCCTCATGGCGCCCCGCCCCCTCATGGCCCCGCTATGAGACACTCACCCAGCACCAATTCCACTGCCTTTGTGCTCACGGAGCTGCCATAATGTAAACACGTGTACACGCCTTCGTCATGCGGGGTCACATTGGCCACCTGGATGGAGAGCTCGTTGGAGGAGTGATGAAGAAGCTGGTATTTGGTGTTTTTTAAAGCTGTATGGGGGGGGAGCATGTTATGAGGAAAGGTACCAGATTGAATACAGACGCTTGGTAGCTTGATTATTAGCAGGATTAGCTCTCAATTTCCACACTTTAAAGGAACAAATATCACATCTTGGGTTGAGTTGGCTTAAAATTCTAGTGTTACCAGCTGGGTGCCTCTCCATAGCTTGAAATGAGAGTAGGAAATAAAATATGCCAATCCTGGTGTCTGTGAAATAAATCATTTGCTTGATTTCTGTTTGTAGGAAATTTAGAACACTATGCCGGTGGAAGGTTTGCTAGCAGGAGAACTTTAGACATTATGTTGTGAAAAACACCCCACTAGCCCTGGCTGGTGTGACTCAGTTGTTTGGGCATTGTCCCGGGAACCCAAAGGTTGCTGGCTTGATTCCCGGTTGGGACACACCCAGCCCCAGAGAGTGCTCAGGAGGCTCTCTAAAAAATCACATCCATGTCTCTCTCTAAAAAATAAATAAACAAACAAACAAACAAACAAACAAACAAACTTGTGGGTTTTTTTTTTTTTAAAGGATGTGTTTGCTTAAAAAAAAAAAGCGCACTATGACTTACCTTTTTGAAATCTGACTCATTTGATATTGTCTTGTCAGAATGAGTGTGAAGAATGTAAAATAAATGCATTGATATTCATTGTTCCAGCTGGGTGCATTTTATTTTTAGAGTAGGGGTCCGGTGCACGAAATTTGTGCATGGAGTGGAGGGTTGTCCCTCAGCTCAGCCTGCACCCTCTCCAACCTGGGACCCCTCGAGGGATGTCTGACTGCCTGTTTAGGCCCACCAGGATCAGGCCTAAATGGGTAGTCGTACATCCCTTTCACAAACCAGGACTTCTGGCTCCCAACCACTTGCCTGCCTACCTTCCTGATTGCCCATAACTGCTTCTGCCTGCCAGCCTGATCACACCCTAACTAGCCTGATCGATGCCTAATTGCCCTCCCTAGCAGGCCTGGTCTCTCCCAATTGTGTTCCCCTGCTGGCCATCTTCTGATGGCCATCTTTTGTCCACATGGGAGCAGCCATCTTTCACCACATGGGGGCAGCCATCTTGTATGTTGGAGTGATGGTCAATTTGCATATTAGTCTCCTATTAAATAGGATTTTAAAAGTTCATTATTATTTGAAGTTCTCCCCAAATTATGACTTAGTCCTTCCAAGTGTTTAGTTAATGGAGGATTTAAAAGTCATACTCTAGAGTAGGGGTGTCGAACTCAATCAGAGAAGGGGCCAAAATCTAAAATCCAGCCTAAATCGCGGGCCGAATGGTTTACTGAACAGTCATAAACTGTCATTGTGATGGAAACACAGCGGAGTGCAGTGATGACAGCGCGGTGCGGGCCACATTGCAAGGCCTGGTGGGACGGATTTGGCCCGCGGGCCTTGTGTTTGACACATGTGCTCTAGAGGATTCCAGCCAGCAGCCGTGTTCTCTCAGTTCTTTGGGGAGGCCCATTGCAGTCTGAGGCCTTCAACTTACCACTACTCACTCACTCCCTTTCTTTTCTTTTCTTTTTTGTTATTTATAATATGAACAAGCCTGGAACTGTTAAGCCAAGAATGGCTGAGTGAGGAAAGCTGTTTCTCACCCAGAACCACAGCCATGTCCCTCCCGATGTTACATGAACTAGAAGCAGGAATTCACCTTAGCACTATCGATGTTTGAGTCCCTAATTCTTTGTCGTGGGGGCTGTTCTGTGCACTGTAAGGAGTTTAAATAGATTCCTGACCCTTGATCCCAGCCTCTCTGCATAATAGAATCACTGTCCCCTTTCCCCATTTACAGCAATAATCTTCCTGCAGGGTTCCCCAGGGACAAACTTGGCCCTTGGCTGGGACACACCCAGCCAGATCCAGGCCTCCTGGGGAGACATCTGGTCATGCCATCATGATAAAAAGCCCAAAACAAAACATCCAAAAGCATTATGTAACAGCACATCTATATATATATAGATGGCATACATACATACATATATATATATATATATATATACAAGCCGAGTGACTGGAAGGACAGAATGACCACAGTGACCAAAACAACTAGTCACTATGACGCTCTCTGCAGCCCCTCCCTCTGGCTGGCCCCACCCCAATTGCCCCCGACCCTGACTGAGGGATGGGACAGCTGCCCAATTTCCTAGTCCCCTACCCCTGCCAGCCCAGCCAGATCAGCCCCTATTGGGGTGGGCTGGCTGGACCCTACATGTGCATGAATCTGTGCACCAAACCTCTAGTTTCTTGGTCAGAACTTTTAACCAATGTATTAGAATCTCATCTTCATGGTTCATTTAGCTTGAAATAATTATTAGTTATTTTACATCTACTACAATACATCACTGCTTCATGGTTTCAAAGCCTGTTACATTGTTAAAGACTCTGCTTTTAAAAGGCAGAATAAAGTTTGCTGTTTTGAAGATGTCACAAGAATGTGGCCTTGGAAATGTTGAGTGGGGATATAAAATGACCTCAGAGTGAAGAAAAGGGTTAGAATCCTGCTCTCAGAGATAAATTAAACAGACATTTAAGAATCCGGCAAGCAAAAAAATGTAACTAGGTGAGGGGATGCATGTTAACCAGATTTGTTGAATATATACTCATGTCAATTATTATGTTGTGCATCTGAAACTCATATGTCATATGTTAATCTACACTGATAAAATATAAACATGTAAATTAACCATCACTTTGCAACACCCATCAGCCAATCAGGAATGAGCATGTAAATTAGCAGGACAAAAATGGCAGCAACCACAGAATCAGCTGAAGCGAGTGGGAGGCTTGGGTCGCCCCTGGCAATTGGAGGAAGCCAAGCTTCCTGCCTTCCCAGGCTGGCTGCCAAAGGAGGGGCCTGTGAGCAGAGAACATGGAGCTGGCCTGGGATCACAGAAAACTTGGGTCACCATCGTCTGGATCAGCAACAGAGGGAAGAGCCTGCAAATGGCCTTTAGCCCCTTACCCAAGCTTCCCATGCCCCCATGGGGTGAGGGTCTCCACTGGGGTGTGTGGCCAGCCTACAAACAGCCATCAGCCCTTCAACCAGGCTGGCCAGGCACCCCAGCAGAGATCCTCACCTGATGGGAATATGGCTGACCTGCAAACTGCCCCAGCCCCTTGCCCAGGCCAGCACCATTCCCAGTGGGGACCCCCACCCCAATGGGGACATGACCAGCTTGAAAACCACCACAGGCCCTTTGCCAAGGCCTCCCTGCCCCTCAAGGAAACACCCACCCTGATCTGGGACATGCTTTAGGACAAACCAGCCAGCCCCCACCTGTGCACCAGGTCTCTATCCTATCTAATAAAAGAGTAATATGCAAATTGTCCATCACTCCAACACAAAAGATGGCTGCCCCCATGTGGACACAAGATGGCCACCAGAAGATGGCCAGCAGGGGGGGCACTTGGGGGGACCAGGCCTGCAAGGGGAGGCAGTTCAACTGACAACTACAATGCACACTGACCACCAGGGGTCAGACTTTCAATGCACAAGCATGGAAACATGAAAAAGTGATGAATCTCTGAGGGAAGGTGGGGGCGAGGGTAGGAAGAGATTAACCAAAGATCTCATATGCACACTGGAGGCCTGGTGCATGGACTCATGCACTGGCGGGGTCCCTTGGCCTGGCCTGCACCCTCTCACAGTTTGGAACCCCTCAAGTAGTTTGTGCAGAGGCTGGTGAAGGGAGGGGGCCACGGAGGGCACAGGGCACAGTGGTCACAAGCATGGGATAGGATGCCTGGGCTGCTGCCTGTCCATGATATGAGACTGGAAGTGTGATGTGGGTGAGGGGCAAGGCCGGGCAGAAAAAGGCACTTCAGATATAAGCCACTTTCTCAGCTGCCGGGAGGTTCCCGAGCAGACACCCCAGGGCACGGCCACTTGTGAGACAGCTGGTGGGGCTCCGCCCTCTGCAGCACACCCACAGGCATCTGGCTGCCCCATGTCTGTCCGAAGACCCCTGAGGGGAGCACTGGGGGCAATTGATGTTTTTCCACTTACCGGGATGCTGGTTTAAGAAGATGGTGAACCCCGAGGGGGACACCCACTGCAGGGGGCCATGCTCCATGGGTGGGGCCACACAGCTCAGGGTCACCAGCTGGCCCTCCTCCACCTCCACAGTCTCCATGGGGCCCACCAGGGAGGCCGCTGTGAGTGTGATAATAAACAAGTCATCTTTTCTATGAAACAACAGTTTAGCAGCCAACATTTTTGCTCACATGACTTGGCAGCCACCATGTTGGCCGCATGATGTACAGTTCCCCTGAGGGCCACCATCTTGAAATGGCAACGACCAGCCTCTTCCTTTGAATTAGCCAATTGGGAAAAACTGTGAGCCTGACCTCCATTCAAGTGTGAGGGACAGATCATGTGTGTCAGGATTAAAAGCCGAGGGAACCCTGCTCAGGGCAGTGCTCCCAGACCATGTGTGCACTCTCCTGCAGGAGGAAAGCTGTTTGCCTGCTGCCCGGCTCTGAGTGAGCTTTGTGTCCCCAGGACCCTGGGTTTGGGGCGCACCTTATTTCTTACACAAGGGAGAGAAGGGGTGTGGTCAGCTGGATCCAGCACCCACTCTCACCGGCAGGGACTCAGCCTCAACCCACCTACCCAGTTATTTGAGTATTTATATACAGTTCATCCACAGACAGGACCTCAGCCGGCAGCAACTTGTGAGGCAGAAGGGTTGAAGTGGGGGAGTCTGGATGGGGAAAGGGGGCAGTTGAACATCTACTGACATTTGCTCTTTCCAATGTCAGTTCCTCTTACCTACCTTTATTTGTTTGTTTGTTTATTTATTTATTTATTATTTGATATGTTTTTATCGACTTTTAGAGAGAGAAGGGAGAGGGCTAGAGAGAAACATGAATGAGAGAGAAACATCATCCATCGGCTGCCTCCTGCAGGCCCCTGCTGGAGGTTGTGTTCACAACTGGGTATGTGCCCCTGATCGGAATTGAACCAGTGACCTTTTGGCTCCTGCTCGACATCAACCACTGAGCCACAGAGCCAGGCTTACCTGCATTTAATTTAACTTTCAAACTAACCCTCGAAGGAAGAATCATGCGGCTCCCTCTACAGATGAGGGAAGAGAGGCTCAAGATCACTCAGGCCTGGGGGTGGGTGGCACCCAGGTCTGCGTGTTGCAGAGTCTGCAACCCTGGGACTTGGCTGAACTGAGTGATGAGCCCAGGCCCCTCGGCCTCCTAGCCTTGCTGACGAAGGAGCAACATGAGCCTCCCATACCCTGCAGGCATCCAGGATGGAGGGGAGGACGGGGCTCCCTTCCCCTGTCACTGCCCCAGGGAACAGTAAACAACTGATTTGAAGCAGCTGTAAGTTTATCCTCCCAAAAGGACAGTGATTGAAAAAATAAGTAGGCACATCTGTTGCTATTTCTTATTTTTTCAAGTTTTAAATTTAAAACATACTTTTTCTGAGGATGACAATTCTTATCAATGAGAGTACAAAACACGCACAGAAATTATGAATGAAATATAATGAGTTTTACTGCCTTAGTTTAAATTTTTTTAAAAGAAAAAAAGAAGAAAGTTATTTGCTTGTGTTAAATTTCAAGTATTAGGAAAAGTACTTTGGAGAACTCTGGAAATGTAACTGTTCCATTCCAGAATTGTTCCAGAATTCTGCTTAGGTTGGGTCATTGGAAATATTCTAATCTATAAAATCAATCCATAATCCTATCTAATAAAAGAGAAACATGCAAATTGACCATACCTTTACTACACCAACAGCCAATCAGAGTGAATATGCAAATTAACTCAAAGATGGGAGTTAATTTGCATATGCAGGCGCTGAGTGTCCTGGATCCTGGATACATCCCCTGGACCCAGGCCACTCCTAGCCTGTAGGCCCAAGCTTAGGTCCTGAGCAGCAGGGTTCCCAGAATGCCCCCTGGCCACTCGGACCCTGTGGGTAAAGATGCCAAACTGCCTGGCGGGGCAGGAACATCCCCCAGCTGCTTGTAAATGCTCCTGCACCAAGCAGTGGTTTGGCTCCATGCCCCCAGCCCAGCGCCCACGATGGGGCTGGCTATTGGCCTCTGGGGTGTGCCGAGACTCGGGGCCAGGAGTTTATATTGGCAATGTTGCCCATGTTCTTCCCTTTGTAAAAGGATTGCTGAGACAGGAAGCCTGCACCTGGAAGATGAGAGGGGTGAGACTTGTCAGCTGCCTGTTTATGAATAAACTAGAGGCCCGTTGCACAAAATTTGTGCACTGGTGTGGGGGGGGGGGGTGGCGGGTGTTCCTCAGCCAAGCCTGCCCCCTCTCACAGACTGAGAGCCCTCAGGAGATGTCCTAGGAAGCAGGCAAAGCTTCAGTTTGGCCTTCCTCTGTGGGAGGTGACTGGGCTGATCAGGGGAAGGTGCCAGCCCATCACCCCACTGCTGCTGCCACTGTCACAGCTGCCAAGGTGTTCTTTCTCATTAACACGGACTCCAGTCCCTTCACCATGAAAAAATGACAACTTTCTTTAGCCATTTTCAAGATGTGTCTTTCATAGGATATGCATTTCTTTCTTTATTTTTTTTTTTTATCCTCACCTAAGGATATGTTTCCATTGATTTTTAGAGAGTGTGGAAGAGAGAGGAAAAGACAGAGAGAAACATCAATGTGAGAGGGACACTTCAATTGGTTGCCTCGTGCATGAGCCCTGACCTGGGCCCTGGCCAGGAAAGAGCCTGCAACCTAGGTTCATGCCCTCGATCAGAATCGAAACCAGACCCTGAGATCGGCAGGCCGAGGCTCTAGCCACTGAGCCAAACCGGCTAGGACAGGATATGACATTTCTTAGCCCCTCCAGCAGCAGACTCCAAGAGTGCGGTGGAAAAACTCTAGATCACCTTCTTGCATTCTTATTACTCAAGTTACCTGGAACACTGTGAGAGGCAGCTTATAGGGAGCTTAGCCAATGGGCTTTCAGAAAAGGTGTTTCCACCCTAACTGATTTGGCTCAGTGGTTAGAGCATCGGCCTGCAGACTGAAAGGTCCCAGGTTCAATCCCTGTCAAGGGCACGTACCTTGGTTGTGGGCACATCCCCAGTAGGAGGTGTGCAGAAGGCAGCTGATTGACATGTCTAGCTCTCTATCCTTCTCTCTTCCTCTCTGTGAAAACTCAATAAGATATATTTAAAAAGAAAAAAAAGAGAAAAGGTGTTTCCTGCAGCTCATGCACAGAGGACCCCCTGCATTGTGTCTGCAGGGCTTCTGTCCACTGGGCTGGGGGCATGCCCCAAGCCAAACTGCTAGGGGGCTGCCGAGAGCATGCCCCCAGCCCAGTGGCCCTGCTTTCTGTCAGCTGGGCTCTGTCAGCTAGGCTGGGGGCATGTCCCAAGCTGCTCAGGGGTGGCTTGGAGCTCGCCCAGACCCAACAGCCCAGCATTTTGTCTGCAGCCCTTCCTCCGTCTGAGGCCTGGGAATGGGGCATTAGCCCTATAGGTGCTGCCATCTTTGTGGCGGAGTGATGGTTAATTTGCATATTACTCTTTTATTAGATAGTATTGGAGGCTTGGTGCACAAAAATTCTTGCAAGGGGCTCAGTCCTCGCAGCCCCGGCTTCGTCCATAAGATTGTCCAGAAGCCCATTCAGCTGTGTTGTCTAATTAGCATATTATGGTTTTATTATTAGAGATGCCTCTCATTTTAAGGATCATGGTCTTTTGCTTGGGATACATGTCTATGAATTGAATTGTAGGCTCTTTAGCACATGGTTAGTGTTTGCTCCTGTAAGTCAGTACCAGGCTCTGACCAGACTGACCACAGCTGGAGATGCCTGAGTTTAGATGGAAAGGGCTGTTGTTTTCTTTACTCTTTGCTCCAAGCCTTGCTTCCGGCTGCACCAGACCTATCGATATTTGTCTTTTGAGTTGTCGTGTAGACCCCGTGCTTGATTTAGAGGCAGGAGTCACTGTAGGCAGGAGAGCAGCCTGTGCCGTGGGGCTTGAAAAGCTTGTCCCACGTGTCCAGGTGAGGTGAGAGGGTGGGAGGGGAGATGGTTGAGAGGAGAGGGAGGGTGGGAGGGGAGAGGTTGGGTGGCAGGGGAGAGGGTGGCAGAGGAGCAGGTGGGAGGGAGTGCTGCTCCTAAGCTGCAGGACACATCTTCTAAGTGACCTTCCCCTAGAATCTAGGGCCTAGATTCTCTCACTGACATTGAAGATGGAACTGGAGCTCCTCTGTTCAACTGTTTTGAGCTAAATTTGGAGTCAGACCTTCACCTTCTTCATCAGAGGGCTGGGTGTGGGGTGCTGTGTCTGCTCACCACTTCCTCCCTGCAGGCTTTAGAAACAACCACCCTTTCTCTGGGGTCCTTAGCGCCTGTGTTCCTCTCAGGTGCAGGCCTGTGGTCTCTCTGGGTGTCACTACTCCCATTGGAGGCATGCTCATGGAGTGGACTCTGGCCTTCTGGGCTTGGCTATTACTGCCGCAGCTGGTGTCATCCCTCTGTGCCCAGCATGCGGTAGGAGGCTGCTTACTGAGTAGAGCTGTGAGGGCTATTCACCAGGATTGGTTCATGTACAGAAATGGAACCTGTGACCTTTCCCATCTCCACCTTCAACCCCATCAACCGCCTGTCCTAACCGTGGGATGGCTTCACACCAGGGCACGTGACCAACCTTCAAGCAAAAGGGAAAGCAGCCCTCATGGCCACTGCCAGCACACAGAAGTGCAATATGGCCCTTCCAGCATCATCAGTGCGCGCCAGGGTTTGGGATTGCAGTGTGTGGCCTCCACCTCCATTGGAGGTCATCACAGTAGATGCAGAGAATGAAGAATTCTTCCTTCCTCTTACTTTGTCAGTTAGATTCCCATACGACAATATTAAGAGCTCCAGAATAGAGTCTGTCTTGCAGGGCTCTAGATGGACATGTCCAACTGGAGCTCGTTATTCCTGCTGCGCCCATGCCATGCGCACACCTCACCTGGACTGCCACCTCTCCTTCCAGTGTTTCCTAGCTTCACTAATGTCAGCACCAGCACAGCATACCAGGGATTTGAGTCTCTCTCTCTCTCTCTCTCTCTCTCTCTCTCTCTCTCCAAAGCATACCTTTCATCCATTTTTCCTCTCCCTCTCTTTATTTTTCACTACTATTACTGCTTCCTCGTTTCTTTCTTTGC